CTCAGCAGCAGCAGTGTGTACTATCTACAAGATGCACTGCAGAAATTTGCCAAAGATCCTTAGACAGCACCTTCCAAATTCACGACCACTTCCATCTAGAAGGACAAGAGAAGCAGATACATGGGAACACCACCATCTGCAAGTTCCCCTCCAAGCCACTCACCATCTAACTTGGAAATATATCACTGTTTCTTCACTGTTGTTGAGGCAAAATCCTGGAATTCCCTCCTTACAAGCATTGTGGGGTAACTTGCAGCATGAGGACAACAGCAGTTTAAGAAGGCAGCTCGCCACCACCTTCAAGGGCAATGAATGCTGGCCAGCCAGTGATTCCCATGAATGAATTAAAAAAAAAACTGCATTTAGTTTTACTGATATATCTTTGACTGTTTGTATGTACGTAATATATTCCCAGCAAAGTAGCTGCACCTTTTTTTTGTTCTTAAGATTTCCCCCACAGGGCCTCAAATGTATAACCTTCTTAGATATCATCCCTTCCCCCTGAAATAATTGACTCTTTTTCATTAACATTCTGACAGTGCCTCCTCTTTACTGCCATCTTCCCCCAACAAAGATCTTGCTTGAAGATTCAATACCCCAGAACAGTGAGCTACCAATTCTTCCCTCCATCAATCGTGTCTCTGTGACAGCAACGATGTCATATCCCCATGTGTAGCACAATCAATTCCTTTGCCTTATTCACAAGTCCCCTTGCATTAGAACAAATGCTATCCAGCCTTGCCATGCTCCCTCGTATTTTCACTTGATTATATTCGCACTGTCATCTAAATTGACTTGATGGTTCTTGCATACTTGTCACCCCGAACAGTATCTCAACTCCTGCCAAATTAGTCAAAACTCCCGTCAACCGCACGAGCAAGCGTACCCCACAGCCAAACAGCTAAACCTAAAATAATAACTCTGGGATTTTTAAAAAAATGTCATGTATTAAGTAGTAAAGATTTCAGTAGACTGTTAGCATTATCTAAAACTATAGACTGAATTGCAGAATTTTGCTGCAAATTAAGTTCTGCCCTTTGTTGTTTTGAGCATCGCAAAAACCCTTTGTATCCGAACTGTCACTAAACAGTTTGCTGTCATCTGATAAAATCTGGTACACGTTGCGCGAGTGCAACAGTTCTACCCACTGGCGTTCCACAGTAGGGATTTGCGCAAGTGGAACTTTTTCGTGATTCCAAACCGGAGCCAAACTGAGCAAGAATGCTGGGATTGAAAGGAAGTGAGATTTATGTTAGAACAATTGTTGACACCCGCGTGAAGCTAATTACACGATGGTGGTCTGGGATTAGGTTGTGCACTTACTGACAGAGGAAGAATAAAGATTGAAAATACTTTTCTACAATTGGAACTTTCTAAAGTTGGGAAGACATTTTTTAAAACCTTTTTATGTTTTCACCGTCCCTTTTGTAATACATTAAAAGATACTTAAAGGAAATTTGCTTAATTTATTTTAAAATATCTCAGTTATCCGTGCGCTGGCATCAGAATTAATTCATTGCAGAATGTTTATAAATGAGTAAATTCGGAAGTTTTATTTTTCTCATGTTGCAAGTCACAGCCCAGCTGTTTGAGTCATAATCTGATTGAAGACTTCTGCTGCATTGTGATTTTTGAATTTACTGCCTATACTTTTTAACTGTTTTTCAAGGTTCCGGAATTCACTCTCACCCCTTTTGTTGTCATAAATGTAACTAGCTACTTGGGTTGTGAGGTATTAAAAATCCTCTTCATCATATTGTCGCTACTGCAAAATTATACGATTTTTCCACGACGTTTCAAAGGATGACTGCTATCTGACCCGGACGCTGTTACCACTTCCCCATTCTGAAGGCTGTTGTTTGAATTTTCTGAATGTCAGTGGATGTGAAATATGTGTGTCTCTTACGCCCTCCCTCCCTCTTCAGGAAGTCAATGTTTATCTGCAGCAATCAGTAATTTACCAGAGAATGACAAGGGATTTGAAAAGTAACCATTTCACTCCAGAGTAGTGGAGGGCTGAAACGGTAATAGAGTATAACACCCCAATTTTTATTTTTAAAGATACATACTTGCAAATGCACTTGAATGATCATAACCTTCAAGACTATGGTTCGAGACTCAGAAGGGGGAATTAGGCTGGATACAGTTTTTTGCACTGCATAGATGTGATGTGGCAAATTATCAACACTTGTGTCGCAAATTTTCTTGTTTCCATGTAGCGAATTTTAAGACCTCTCTCTCCTGCCCCACCGCCTCCGATTTTCCAAAATCCCTTGATCCTGAAAGGGGGTCCATTTAGAGAGTCATAGAGTCCTATAGCACAGAGGCAGGCCCTCTGGCCCAAACTGGTCCGTGCCGACCAAAATGTCCGTCCACACTAAGCTCATTTCCCTGCACTTGGCTCATATCCTTCTAAACCTTTCATATCCATGTATTTGTTCAAATGTCTTTTAAATGTTGTTAATGTACCCACCTCAACCACTTCCACTGGCAGCTCATTCCATATGCTTAGCACCCTCTATTCTTTTTAAAAAAAAAAGTTGCCCCCCAGGTTCCCATGTATTCTTTCTCCTCTTAGCTTAAACTGATGCTGCCTAGTCCTCGATTCCCCAGTCCTAGGAAAAAGTCTGAGTGCATTCACTCTATCCATGCCTCATGATCTTATACACTTATCCGCCCTCCGTCTCCTACGATCTAAAGAAAGAAAGGTCGTAGCTTGTCCAACTTCTTCTTCCTATAATTCAGTCCCTTCAGGCCTGGCAACATCCTTGTAAATTTCTTCTGCACTCTTTCCAGTTTAATAATCTCCTTCCTATAGCAAGGTGACCAAAACGGAACACAATACTGCAAGTGCAGTCTCACCAACATAGTGTACAACTGCATCATAACTTCCCAACTTCTATACTCAGTACCTTGACTGATAAAGGCCAGTGTGCCAAAAGCCTCCTTCACTGCCCTGTCTACCTGTGACTCCGCTTTTCAGAGATCCGTGCACCTGAACTCCAAGGTCCCTCTCTTCCACTACATTCCTTAAGGCCCTACCATTCACCATGAAACTCTTACCTGGATTTGATTTTCCAAAATGCAGCACCTCATACTTATCTATATTAAACTCCATTTGCCATTTCTCGGCCCACTTCCCCAGCTGATC